AAAAAATCATATTTTGTAACTTCATTATGCATTTAAATTAAATAATATAACAAATCGCTCTAACATTTTTAATTGGTTGATACATGTTTTACTTATACTTGCACTACAACAAAAAAGAGCTCTAACAACATAAACATTGTGACTTTTTTTATAAGTGTAATTAAAACTGACGTGTTTGTGACTTTTTTAAAAAGCGTTAAATATAACAACACTTTTTAAAAATTGTCATAAAATCATGTCACTTTTATAATGAGTGTCACCGTGTTAACTAATATTGGGACATTTATTTAAAAGTGTAATTAAATTATGTCGTTTTATACAAAAGTGTCGTCATGTTTAGTTATATGACGACTCATTTTGGAAACTATATTAAAATAGTAACACAATTTTAAAAAAATGTCACAATTTTTATAATATGACATCATTTACCTCAAAATGTAACTACATTATGACATTTATACAATTGTGTCACCGGTTTTAAGAATATAATAACACTTAAAAAAAGCGTAATGAATTAGTTAGTGACATTATGAATAGCCAAAATGACGTTATTCCCTAAAGGATGCAACTAGGCCTGTAAATAAGTCGAGCCGAGCTCGTTAAATAAACGAGCTAGAATTTGAGCCCGAACTCAACTCGTTTACCACTTATAACGATCTGAGTTCGAGTCGATCTCGAGCTTTAACGAGTCGACTCTAGAAAATTATATTAAAATTCCCTTTTCGAGTTTCATCGAAACGAACTCAGCTCGTTAACCAAACAAGCTTTAAATGAGCTTGAGATAAACGAACCGAGCCGAACTCAAGCCTTAACGAGTCCAGCTGAACTAGACTCATTTAATTTAATCGCACTAGATGTGACCGACGATATGTTGATGAGTAAATTACCAAAACATCCCTTAATTTTTCTCATTTTATTTGCTTAGAAACCTATTTTGGGAAAATCAAAGGGGTGATGTGAGATATTTTTCTTTTTATATCCAATCTTCTTTCTTCACCTAGCATTTTGTTTTTCTTTTCAAACCCTACCTACATCTCTAATTAAAGGTAGTAGATTTTATTCTAATAAGTTTGTAAACATAGTTTTTAAGCTCAAGGAACTAATCACATATGCCTTATGACTTATTATTATTATTATTATTATTATTA